AGGGAATTCTACCAAATATACAAAGAAGAACTCATACCAGTCCTTCTCAAACTATTCCATAAGATTGAAAAAGAGGGAATACTCCCAAACTCATTTTATGAAGCCACCATCACCCTGATACCAAAACCAGGCAAAGACACTACCAAAAAAGAGAATTACAGACCAATATAATTGATGAACATAGATGCAAAAATCCTCACCAAAATATTAGCAAATAGAATCCAACAGTACATAAAAAAGATTATACATCATGATCAAGTGGGGTTCATCCCAGGGACACAAGTGTGGTTCAACACATGCAAACCAATCAATGTAATACATCACATCAACAAGAGAAAGGACAAAAACCACGTGTTCATCTCAATAGATGCAGAAAAAGCATTCGATAAAATTCAACACTCATTTATGATAAAAATTCTCACCAAAGTGAGTATAGAGGGAACATATCTCAACATAATAAAAGCTATATATGACAAACCTATAGCCAGCATAGTTCTCAACGGTGAGAAACTCAAAAGCTTCCCACTAAAATCTGGGACAAGACAAGGATGCCCACTATCACCACTCCTATTCAACATAGTCCTGGAAGTCCTAGCCACAGCAAGCAGGCAAGAGAGAGAAATAAAAGGGATCCAAATTGGAAAAGCTAGCGAATTACTAAATAAAAGAGGTTCTGTCAGCTAACCTAGAAAAAGATACTTTCCTAATGACCTGGAAGCCCATATTCAAGGTAGAATTCTCAGACCACTTAGAGTTCCCTATCAAAGATGGAGACATGGAGAGAGTCAGTCTCAAGTCTAGCCTTACTCTTCCCAGTCCTGCTCTGTTGCATACTCCCAGGGGCTGCTCCACCATGCATATGGACACACCAACCACCTGGCTAAGCTCTCTCCTTATCCATTCAAAGAGCCCCCTCCTGCCCATACATTCACAGTGAGCCTAGGCAAATGAATACCAACGGCACAGTCAAGAGCAACCCAAGAGAGAGAACTGTGCAGGTTCCAGAAGCAATCTGGAAACATGTGTGCAAGGAATTCTTGGGTTCCAGCATCCAAGCATGATCTAGAATTTACTGGTGTTAATGGTGGTGTGGACTCCTGGAGGACAATTAGAGTGACCGAACTGGTTTACAAGGATCTGTCTTCCTGCTGTTAGCACTGAAAGTTCCATGCCCTGGGAGACCCTTCCAGATATTAAAAATCCTACTTTTCAATCTTGCATCAAAAGGTTAAAGGAAAAGTGCAAAATCCACATGACAGCCCCAAAATACAGGCAGACAGTATTACTGTTTTTAGTGTCAAATGGATTTGGTGTAGATTATCTGTCTCCCATAGTCATTATCACTAGTTTGTTCCCCTGGTTGAAGGAAGGAAAAAAAGACTTTCCTGAAGTGATTGTAAGAATCTTGAGGGCATTTGTCTGACTTCTGCTTTTATTTCATTAATTTTGGGTTAATTAACTCTAATATAAAACTAATGAGCATACTTTGCTTGTGCCATGTATTCATTCATTTCCATTCCAGGCTGGTCTATCACAGCACTAAGACTTTTTTTTAACATTTTTTTTATTGATTAATAATCATTTTACAATGTTGTGTCAAATT